GTTCAAGCCTGACCAGCCATTTGATTTAGATCTATTGCTCTTTGACAACAGACACACTCTCTCTCTTTCTCTTTGTTTAAGCAGCAGCTTAGGGCGGTTGGCTTGGCTCCCTCCCACTGCCTTTTCATTTGCACCCATGTCCTAAAGTAGGAATGGGGGGGGGATCACAACTGGTCAACAGCAGGACATCAGCAGAAGAGCTAGTGGAGAGCTCACGTCCAGCTTCTTTGCAGCTTCTTTGCTCCTCTGATGCTTTCATTGGCAGAGAGGAACTTGACTTAATAATTGTAGGGCTTTCCTGGGGAATCTAGTTCAGCCATCCTCAAACCACCATCTTTCAGAAAAGGTGGGACTGCTATGACAGGTCTCCTGTCACGCATTTGTGAATAATGTGAACGTTCTTCAAGTGTTTGGGTGCATCACCAAGCTTCCCCGTTTTTCTCTTATTTGCGTGCATAGTTGTACTACAAAAGTCATATGGACAAATCCTGTGATAGTTTGCAACCGGTCAGGATTGTTAGGCTGATAATTTCCTATTTTGTTTTTCACCTGGCATATCTACTCCAATCGGATTCTGAGTTCCGGAGAACTCAGGCCCTGAGTTCTATATTTTCCTGGGTGAGTGTTTTTCTTCTTAACAGTTGTAGGAGAAACATCAAAGTCTTTGCTCTACAGAATGACGTTTAGCAATGGGGAACCACACCTTGGCCTTGGGTTGCTTTGTCTTGCCCCAAAGGGAATCTGGGGCAAGACAAAAGCAACATTTGATTCAACTCAGTTGGACACTTATATGCAAATGAGTTTAATTTGAAGTCATTACATAAAATAACGGATCGTTTATAAATCATCTCTTTCAATCACAGTTGAAACTACAGTTCAGTGCCAATTTTGGGAAACTCATGAGCATATTGAAAATTGGTATTTAAAATGTTTGCATTTTGCAATAAATCTCCTTTTAGATCTATTGTCTGTCTGTCTTGGTTCTTTACTTGGGCTACCTTTGAATTCTGTATTACTTAGGGTTTTTTCTTCACTTTACAACAATAATTATGAGCATGTTTGATATACTTTACCCTACCCTTTTAGCCTTCCTGGGGGCTGTGAAGTCCTGGCTCTTCCGCCAAGCATTGGGATAGGATGGGGGGTTGAGCTGTGAGAATGTTTGGCCTGGTGCCTGGGGGGTAGGGTAGGTTTTTAACTATGTTTCATGGATTTTTGTGAGCTGAGAGAGTTATTGTATGAGATAGGCAGCCATATAAGTCAGACAAACAAACAAACGTCTACTGCCCATACATATTAGGAGATCACGAAAATTGGTTGAATTGCTGTGCTGGAATTGTATGTTACCCTGAGGAAACCAAGCCTGTTTATTTCATGCAATTTTTTTCAAAAATCAATTTTATCAGGTATTCCCAGCTGAAGTGCCTTACCTGGCCCGAGGTGGGGATCAACTGGGTGACTGTGAATGGCGACTTTCCTCAGCCTCAACTGTCCTCAGCTGGACCACAGATGCTCCGCAGCTCTAACTTGCAGAACTTTCAGTAATGATTGCAACTGGGGATTATGGTTCCAGAACATCTACAGAACCTCAGGTGGAGAAAAGCTTTTGCAGTCAATTGACAGGTTGCTGTTAGCAACTGTCAGGAGTTTCAGGACCTTGGAAAGCTCCAGATGCGCTTGCTCCAAAACTCAAGAGCTGCCTTGGGTTGCTAGTGTCTTCTAATGTCATCTGAACATCATTGTGCAAATACAGCAGTAATGTGGACGGGCTTTATATCACCTCAACCACCACTGGGTGATGCTATAATAAAGTTGGTTAGTCTGAAAAGGCGCTCCAGACTCCTCCTGATTCTTGGCTCCCATAGACTAACACAACTCTTCTCCTACAAGAGCAACAGTCACAGAATGTCTAAGTGCATAAAAGAGGGAGATGGGAGAACAATTCATATTCCCCCATACATAGTTGAGGCATTAGAAATTATTTTAGATGCTAGGAGAAGTGTTCCATGAGAACTAAGTTCCATGCTGGCTTCTTGAAACTAAATTGCTATGCAGGTGAGAAAACAAGGCAAGCTTGTCTCAGATAGGACATTAAAACTTTCCTTTCCTTCCTCTTTAGCTTGAACAGCTTCATATTCTCAGGAGGAGGAGAATTGGGGAGGAAGATTAATTTAATGCCCATTTCCTTTGTCATCTGTGCTGCAGCTTCCCTGCGGGTTTTGTTCTGCTGTTGGTGAGGGTGCTTGGAAAGAAAAGATAAAGGTGACAGGCGGAGATTGTTGACAAACCATTGCCAAGGCCTCTGACAAGCCGTCTGTAGTAGAGCAGACCTTTGCAAATTGCAAGATGCCCAAAATAACACCTAAAGGGTGCACACAGAAATAGGAGACACAAACTGGTTTGCACAATTCATGAAGCTAAAATGTCACG